ACTATTTACAATATAAAAATAAAAAGTATAAATAGTTCATTCAAGTATAATAAGCAATTGAATTATTAAATAATATCTTATATTAGTATTAATCTTATTGTTATTTAATTTCAAGTTATCATTTATAGTTATTATAAATACTTCTGATTTTGTTATAAAAGCTATATTAAGTCAAAATTAAAATAAAAATAATTAATTAATAGTTTTTGAATTTAGAAAACATTTATTTACAGAACAAAATTATCTAGTTTATAAGAAAGAATTATTAAATATTATATATATTATTAGACTTTAAAAGCTATATTTTAAAGAATAAATATTTATAATAATTATAAATTATATTTTTCTAGAATATATCAAAATATAATATAACTTTTTCAAGAAATAAGCTTGCTAATTAGAAAGTTTATAAGCTAATAATTTTGAAGTAAAATATAAATCTGATAAAAGTAATATAATTATAGATATATTTTCTTATTAATTATATCTGATAAATATTATAGTAATTATTATTAATTTATTAATAAAGAAGAATTAATGTAAAAGTATAAAGAAAATAAATATTTAGTAGAAATATATAAAATTTTAAAAAATTTTAATAGTATAATATTCAAGCAATAAGTTAAAACAAAATATTTTGAATTAAAAAAAGACTTATTTTATTTGAAAAATACTAATTATCTGATTATATCTAATAATAAGATATTGAAAATAAAAATATTATTTAAATTTCATAATGCATTAATTACAAGATATATTGAAATAAATAAGATATATATAGTTATATCTTAATAATTTTACTGATCTAAGATGAATAAAAGTATTTATAAATATATTATTAGTTATAAATTATATTAATATAATAAGAATAATAATTAGTAATTTAATTTTCAGAATTACTTCAATTACTTGTAATTTTGGAATAGATATAAAAATATATTATCATAAATTTTATAATACAACTTTTGATTATTAAGTTTAAATATAATATAATGATAGTATTTATAAATAAATTTTTAAAAAGAATATACTTTATACTTATTACTATAATAATAATTACACCTGATATTTAAAGATTTTTATTAAAAATATCTTTAAACTATATGACTTATCTATAGTTATAATATTAAATAAAGATGTAAAATTTATTAACAAATTCTAAAAGTCACTTTTTAAATAATTTAAAATAAAATTAGTAATTTTAATAATCTTTTATTTGTAAATAAATGACCAAATAGAGAAATTCAATAGAATTTTAAAAAAATATTAAGAATATATATAATATATTAATAAAATAAATAAGATAAAAAGCTTGCAATAGTTGAATTACCTATAATAATAGTAAAAATACTTTTACTAAATATATACTATTAAATTAAATTATAAATAAGTATTTTATATTTTAATTATCATTTTCTTATTATAAAATAATATTATAATTTCTTAAGAAATCATAAATATTAAAATATTATGATAAAGACTATTAAAGATTTTTTATTAAAAGTACAAGATAAATAATTAAAATATATAAATTAATATAAAAGATATAAAGAATTTTTTATTAAAGATCAAGTTTTTCTCTTTATTTATAATATAAATAATTCTATTAAAATATATAAATTAATATAGAAGATATAAAGAATTTTTTATTAAAAATCAAGTTTTTCTTTTTATTTATAATAGAAATAATTCTATTAATAAATAAAGTATAATTAAGAAACTCATATTAAAATTTATTGAACTCTTTGAAATTATAAGTAAAATTTCTTTTGTTACTTATAAATTATAATTATTAATTAATATTTAATATTTTATAAAGAAATATAATTCAAATAATAAATTTAATAAATATTTATTATTATTATATTAGATAAAAAAAAGAATATAAAGTTGATTATATTTTTAATAAAAAAATTTATTATTATAAATTCTAATATCTTGTTAAATAACTAGATTATTCTCTTTATAATATTATTTAAAAATTTCTTGAAAACTTGAAAAATACTATAAATAAATAAATATCTTTGAAAATTTACTTATATAATATAATAAAAATATTATGCTTTAAATAAAAAGATATATAATAATTTTTAATTAGTTATATTTTTTTAATTTAGATCTTTATTTTATATTATTTATATTATGTTTTTACTTTGTATTATTATTTTTAAAGATTAATTTAATTTTGAATATACAAATAATTATTATATATTAAATTAATTAGTTTAATACATATTATTATACAAATAATTATTATATACTATTTAATTATTAATTTAAATTAATTTTATTTTTAATTAATTAATTTTTTTATTATTTTTTTTATTATTTATTATATTATTAATTATTATTATATTATTAAATTAAGTATAATTAGCACTTTAAAAATGTAATATAAGATTATTAATTTATTAATTAAGTGAAACTTATATATATTTTAAATTATTAATTTATTATTAATTATTTATATTTCATATTTATTTATTTTATATAAATATATCATTCTATTCTGTAAATTAATTCTCAAATCTGAATACTATTTAAATAATAAAATTATAAATATTTATAAATTGAATTATTCCTTTTTATTTTATCTTGTTTATACTTATAAATAAATAATCTTATAATAAACAAAAAATATTTCTAAATAGATTACATATAAATTATTTTTTATTATTCAATTTAAATTTATCTAAATATTTAATTTAAAAGTATTCTAGAAATAGTATGAGATTTTTATATCTAGATTATATTTTTAATTAAATCTTAAAATAATTAATTCATTTTAATAATTTATTTTTAATAATAAACAAAATGAATTATTATAATATCTAAATATTTAGTAATTTAATTTGAGTAAATATATTATTATTTGATTATCTTAATAAGATAATTTGAAATAATACTATTTACTTGAATTAGATTACTAAATATCAAGATATTACATTATAAAGTAATATTTTATTATATTTGTGAAGTAAATATTTGATAAATATTTAATATTTAATATAAAAGTTTATTAATTTATAAAGATATTGATAATTAATATCTATGTTATTTTTGTTTTTAACAATTTATAAAAAGTTATAAGAGTAGACTACTTCTAATAAGTCCTGTAAATATTAATAAATAATATCAATATAATCAAATTTTTCTAATATAAAAAATCAAATATAATATATATTTAGAGAAAATTACATTTCTAAATGATAAAAATACTAAATGCTTTGTATTTTTGAAACTAAATTAGTATGTATTTATGAAGAATAAATGTAAATATAGTAAAAGCTCTGATTACAATAATAAATCAAAATATAATATAATAAAATAAACAAAATTTCAAAATATTGTATAAAGAAAATAACAAAAGAAATATAAATATATCTAATTAAAATAATAATAAAAATTACAAAACCATTTTATTTTATCTTAGATTAATGTATAGCTATTAAATTAGAAAGACTCCAATTATACAAATTTTTATCAAAAAAACTATTTTCTTTGTCTTCGGAGATTTTAAATAATGAATAAAAAGGCGACTAAAAGTTGTCTTGCAACAGCTAATGAGAAATGAACTAAATATCATCGAATAAGATTCTTTTCTTCGTTTGGTGTGATTATTGTCATCCAGTACAATGTCCTTGCATGCACACATTGAGTTGAAAAAATATCCGTTTATCGATAGCGTTCTCAGCATACTTCTCGACTTTTAGAATAATTTTAAGAGAGATTTAATACAATTACAGTAGCTCGCAGAAGAAACGTAACATGAGAAAAAATTTCTAGGGCCTCCAACCTCGATCAATACCTGGTTCAAATATTCATTATAAAGCTAATATCCTAGAGAAATGACTATTAATGTTGTCATTCTAAAGATAAAATGTGCTTCTTGATGAGAACTTGTTACATACCAATTTTCAGCTAATTTGATACCAAATTCGTTTAGCTATTAGGATCCGAGGTACTAAATTAATGCTAGTAAAAAAAAATAGGCGGATTATTTTTACTAGCATTAACTAAACGAATTTGGTACAATTTAACTGAAAATTGGTATATAGATAGTTCTCATCAAGAAGCCCCATTTTTTATTAAGTCAATATCTCAATTGGCTTTTTTAGTCTTTATCTAGGTTATTACTTTAAAAATGAGTATAGGAACCAGATACATTTAATCGAAGTTGGAGACACCAGAGGTTTTTTTCTTCTTTGAGCACTGTACATCGTCGTAAGGTAAGGTTCACCAATAAACGGTGCAATAATTTGACAAAGCCTTTCGTAGAAGATTTATGCTTCAACTACTGACAAATCAAGTGCTATATGATAAACGATGTGGTTGAATGAATCGGTGAAAATGGTTTAATGAGAGTGGATAACAAGATTGTATGGATGTCAACAGATTAGATAGAAATGCAAAAAAAATATCTGTTAGTCAATGTCGTAAACGGTATATTAAAAAGTTTGATTGAGCAATTACAAGGATGACAAAACGGTGAATGAGAACGAATGGATATAAAACCTTAACCAACACAGCACTCTTCATGTGCGTCGTCGCAAACAAGTCCTTGACAGCCACGATAGCAAATAATGAAAGTGAACGTTTATTGCAGATGCATCATCCAAATCATTAAATTATAATTTCTCGCAGTGATTGCAGAATCTTTGTTTTTAATTATGACAAGGTTTCTGATTTTCGTTCGTCAAATTCGCATTGAATTGTGCTAGCAGAACAGATATTTAAGCCCAGATTGTTAAAAAGATATTTATCATTAAAAATCAAGTTTTATTATAACCAGCCAATCAATCAAACTTCATTCATCATTAATCATGACAGAGGTACAGTATTTTCTCACGCTTCCAATGAACAGGATTCTTTTTCGTTATAAATCGCACCTTTATTTCCTTTTCTAGATTGTAGTTTTTTTTACCTCGAGACTCCGTTTTTGTTATTACATACCATATAATCCGTTTTATCTTTATTCTTTCTAAGAAACATTTAAAAAAATGTCGGATAATACTTCTGATAACAATAGTAAACCGGTCACAATAAAACAAAAAGTTAGCGACGACGAAAAAATGGATTCGAATGAAGTTTGTATTGTTTTAATATTCATATTTTAACAAGTTTATATTATTGCCGCTATTACACATTCTGCTATCTTCTCATACAGTGTGAAGAGCAACAACTGCAACAAAAACCACCGTCAAAAAAACGCAAATATGAATCAAAATCCAAATTAACAACTTCCACCACGACCGCCACCAAACCCAAAAAAGAAAAAAAGATTTCTATGAAAAGACAAGCAAAAACTAACACCACCGCTATGTCCAATGATGCGCCTCCAAAAGAACGAGCAAAATCAAATCCTTGGACCCTGGAAGAAGATCGCAAGCTTTTTGAGGCAGTCGCTAGAGACGTGAATTGGGGACAAATTGCTAAAGAGGATTTCCCAAATAGGAATCGTCAGGCATGTCGGGCTAGATGGTTGACTTTGATCAAGAGAATCGAGAGGACCTCTACTGTTATTGAAAGCGAAGCTAAAGATAAAACTAGCGATGAATAATGATTTAGGGCTCATCGTATTAAGAATTTATTGTGGCATTGGTAAAAAGTCAAGATTTTGAAATTTATATTCGGAAATTTAAATATTCCCATATTATTAGTTCAACGTAAAAAAATCATCTAAAATCACATCTTTTGGAAAGACTTCTATTTTGAAATATATATATATATATATATACTTTATCAAATTCACACATGATAAAGCGATAATTAAACACTTTGTCTGATTTCAAAATCATAATTCAGAAATATACCAATATTTACCTATATGAAAGTATGAAGGTTCGATTACCAACCAATACGTGAAATCAAAATATATCATAGTTCCTGTTCTTCATTGTTGAATATACAAGATTATATAGTCTTAAACATATATATTCATTTTCCTTAAAAATGAAACATGGTAACTTGAATATCAGTTCCGTCAAATACACGCTTCACACTTTCTCTCACAAAATCTAAGGATAAATTATCAATATCCATTCCAGTTCGCGGCATACTCAACCCTTTAACACCAAAATTCTCGCAAATATTTCTTAACTCAATCAACCCATGCGTAAAATTTTCGCATGTCGAATACTCGTTCTCATGTCGTTTCGTGATGACGTAGAATAAGTAACGGCCATCACGATTCAAATAGGCAATTTGTCCGACTTTCTTTTTTTGTGATTCAAGATCTTTGACACCGTTGAATCTTTTACGAAATTCTAGAGCGATTCCAGTACTCATGCTAAAGTCTTGTGAGACACAGTGGGCGAGAGCGTTGGTCGGTGGTGAGTCGGTGAATAAATCACCCTTGCACTCTTGAAAATTGATGCGTGTTTTGTTGTTGTGAACTGTAGAAGAAGATTGTTGGGTGTGAGTTGCTAGAGTAGTGGAAAAATTATTATTGGATGTAGAATAATTAAGAGTATCACCACTATTAGCAGTAGTGGGAAAATTATTATAATTATCGTTATTAGGTGAGAACAAGAAGTTATATAAAACGTGAAACATTTTTTTTGATATTGTTATCGTTATCGTTATTTGTGAATTATAAATATGGCGTACATATATCAGGTGATACAAAAAGTGACCAAAATCGGTTAAAACGTATGATGCTGGTCAGATTTACATTAGTGGCTGCTCGGAGTCAGACGAGCAACGAATATTCTTTTTCATTACCCTGCATACCAGAAAGATTATTATAGGAATGGCTTGTCATTTGTATCTTCTGTTGCTAGCATAACTGTTCGATTCCTTTATATGACATGATAAAAAGGCTTTGTAACCATTATTTACATTATTTTCATTATGCCAAAATTTTGTGCTTTATGATCATCGTCGTCGTTGTCAAAACATTTATTTCAAAAGTAAAGATTCGATACGATAATTCATAGATTCGGAGTACTTCAATCGAGACCACCTTGCATCTCAAGCCGTTTTCTCAACTCCCTGAAAGATTGTGACGACGAAACTTACACATCCTGAAGAATGTATATTTAATAAACTCGGAAGCAGTAATAATGTTTTTGCGTTATTTAATAAACTTAGCAACAATAATAATTTTTTTGTATTATTTAAAGGACAATCTAATCAAGTCATGCCCAAACTATATTAAAATCAAGACTCAATGCTCAAAAGAATTTGAGCTACACCTTTTTCCGCATTATCGGGAAGCCGACACAGTCAATGAATTATCACAATCATAACCGATTGGTAATATCTTCGCTCATTAAACTGAATATACATGTTCTTTGTTGATGTTTATGGATTTAAATATCAAACACTGACCCGCACTTCCAAACTGTAAGATCTTATCGATGTGGCGGAAGGTTCACAACTACGAGTTGTTTGAGGTTCTCATTTAATCAGCCCTATAAGATATCGATCTATTTTCTGTTTATTTGAACACTTAAACGAGCAATGGGAAGAGGACAACATAGTTGTGAGATTCATTATAGAGCTCAGCTTGGTAATGATCACGTTTTACTGTCGATTTTTGCGCGGCATATACATAGTCTTTATGAGCTGTCTACGAGCGCAGATATTATGCATGGTGAAGCATAATTTGAGTGTTGAGAATTAAAGTTCTAAATCAATGAGCACTCTTATAATCGACATGAGACTTGATTGAATTTCAACTGATATCAAACTTGTAGAATAAAGAGACATTATTACATAACGATGAGTGCATTCATGGTTGGGAGTTTAATGTAGGTTGCACGGACGGGAAAGTGCATTGTAGCTCGAACGTTATGAAGAGTTCATTGGTTGTGTTAATAAATGAAATTATAATCAATAGAATAAAATAAAGTATCTTTAGAAGCAGACTATGGATTTGTGATTGTTTATGGTTTCAAAAGAAAGTATTCATATTTAATTATCTATATTATAGATTTGATTATGATATAATTTTGTTTATAAGTTAAATATTAAATTAAAATCCAAAAATTATATATATAATTTATTTACAAGGAATCAAAATTGCTAATAAAATATAATTTTTTTATAGAAAAATTATTAATTTGATAATAAATATATGTTATTTTATATTAATTAAAATAAAGATTATTTTCTATACTTTAATATTATTTTCAGATTTTTCAAGCTCAAATTAAATATTACTCTTAAATTGTAATAAATTTATATATTTTATTATAATTAGAAATGTACTCAGTTTGAGTTTGAAAAATTTATTAAATATAAATTATAAAACTTATTTTATTTATTAAAATAAAAATAATTAGTAAAATCAAGTAATTATAGTTTTAATAACAAATAATTGAAACAGATACAGTGGTGACCAAAAATAATGCATCAGGAGCTAAATTTATTAATAAAACATAGTGAAAATTGAAATTTTCTCTCTACATTAAAATTTATAATTTTATTAAGAAATAATTTTGTTTAACATATGATTTTTTAAATTTATTTTGAAAGAGTTGTTTTAATTGTAAAGTTAGTACTAAAATTTTTATTAATTAAATTTCATTTCTAATTATAATCTCTAATAAAAGTAGTGACACATAACATTTTCATTTATATTTTAATAATAAAGTATCCAAAACTCATGAAAGTTTGTAGATATATTCTTTAAAATATCATGAACAAGATTCTTTAATAGTGAAAGCATGTTAGCTTAATAAAATTTTGCAGAATTTTGCATCAAATATGTTGGATTAGGTATCTACACAAAATAACTTTGAAAAAGAAATTATTTAAAAATATTTTTAATAAGTAATTTTGAAAATAT